TGAAGATTGTTCAAAGGCCAGGAAAGGTCACAGGCTGTGTCTGTTTGCTTTGTTTTTAGAGAACCAAGCACGAGACAGATAAAGAATCATGAGTTTTCATATTTTGAAACATCTAGATGAGGTCGTGGACACACCGAGGTGCACTTGCTGCTCCCACATTGGTGGCTTGGTGCCAAGGATGTACTTTGTTTTGCCCCAGGTGTTGCCTTGTGATTTTCTGCGCGTGCGCTTCATCTTTCCAGCTTCGCGGGAAGCTCTCCAAAGCATGGGCCAGAATCCGTCGGTTTCAATCCCTCCGGGACTGGCACACAGCCAAGCGCTCAGTTCCTTTACACATTTACCAATGGGGCCACAGAAACGCAAGATTCCGCTGCTGTACTAGGAATTACAGTCAGGGAGGCGGAAATGCGCAGTACACACGGGTATTTTAGCTGCTGCCACAAGCCTCCCACCGCTTTCTCCTGGGCGCGGACGGAGAACGTGTACTGGGGACAGAAAGTGGGGATCCGCTAAAGCCTTTAGAGGTGTGCCTGGGTGGGGTGGGCTGGAGCTTGGGAGGCTTCAACAGGATAGCCAACTGCTCCCGGCTCCGCTTCACAGGGACGGGGGTTGGGGACCAGCAGGACTTTGGAACCTACTACTGGAGGTGTTGCAAGAAAGAGGGCGCACACTCTACACGCACGCTTGGCACCACAGCTCGCTGCAGCCAGCCGAGCCCCGCGGGTCACCCCCTACTCCAGGCCGCGGGTGCGGGAGCGTCCTCCGCAACCCGCACCCCTCCGTCTGCCTGGACCACCCGCAGAAGCAACTTGGCCCTGAGTGCAGGAGGCGGGCCCCGAATCGCCCCGAGCCGGGGCGCGTCACGAGCGCCCGCTCCTGATTGGCCGGCCGCGGCTGTCACGGGCCGGGCGCACTGGGATTGGTGTCGCCCGAGGCCAGAGCTGGAGTAACTGGACTCCGGGCGGCCGCTTGCAGTCCCGGAGCCTGAGGGGCTGGCGTCGGCGCCGAGCCCAAAGCCCTGGGTGGGAGCCTGGCAGGGACGCGCGCACCATGCCCTACCTGCTCATCAGCACCCAGATCCGCATGGTGAGTACCCGCCGCCCGGCGACTTGGACAGAGTTGGGGCCGGGCCCGGGCCGAGGGGGCTGCGACTGCACCTTGGCGCCTCCCTCTGAGGCAGCGCTTGCCAGTGACTGGATCCGGAAGCCGCCCGGGACACGCCCCCTCGGGCGGAGGAGCCGAGGCTGCGGAACCAAGTCAACCCGGAGCGCCGGACTCGGGGAGTCCTGGCCGGCCCGGTGCTTCCAGGGCCGCGAAGGGGGCGGGGTGCGTGCATCCCCGCGGCGGAGGGAACTCCGGGGGCTTGCGGCTCCTGACCTACCTGTCCGCCCGAGGAAGCCAGGAACCCCTGGTCTCATGGCGCAGCAACCACGGCCCTACACAGAGCCGCTCCGCAGGGGTTGGAGGTGGGGGTGGTGGGAGTGCAAATACATGGGGGAAAGAGGTTTGAAAAAGAAAAGGACGTGCCGAGGCGCCAAAACACCTCTGTCAAGTGCCTGGCCCTCAGGCACTTCCAGAAAGAGCTATCCCTGAGCCCTTAGGAAAGACAGAAGGAGGAGACAGGCCCTGTGGTTAGAGGTGGGAAGACCATTCCGGAGTCAGAGTGATGCCCCTTTTTCTGGGTGCAATTTCGTCGTCCAAGGCAGAGTTGGTGCCTCCAGGAGTCCCTTTTTAACTTCAGAATAGTTTGACTGGGCACCTCCGCCTCTTCCCACTCCCCAGTGCTTTGGTGATCCATCAGCGGGTGCACAACTCTCTGGAGGTGAAGACAACAGGAGAGCTCACCGCGTGACAGGAGGGGTCTTGGCCGTGTCCTAGGGCAGTGGCTTGAGAATCAGTTACTTGTGCAGTTGTTAAAATGTGGACTCCTGGGCCCCTCCCCAGAACTCCCCAAATACTAAGCCTGGGGCTTAGGAATTCGGTGCTCTTCAGGTGATTTTTTTTTTTTAATAGAACAGCTTTACTGACGTATAGCATACATATACCACAGAACTCACGAATTTAAAGTGTACAATTCAATGTTTTTTTATTTTTAATTTTTTATTATTTTTAAAAAAATTTTTTTTAACGTTTATTTATTTTTGAGACAGAGAGAGAGCATGAACGGGGGAGGGTCAGAGAGAGAGGGAGACACAGAATCTGAAACAGGCTCCAGGCTCTGAGCAGTCAGCACAGAGCCCGACACGGGGCCTGAACTCACAGACCGTGAGATCATGACCTGAGCCGAAGTCGGCCACCTAACCGACTGAGCCACCCAGGCGCCCCCAATTCAATGTTTTTTAAAGCATCCTCAAGAGTTGTGCAGCCATCACCATAATCAATTTTAGAACATTTCCATCACCTTCAAAAAACCTATACCTATACCATGCATGTTAGCCGTCATTCCTCATTTTCCCCCAAATCCCCCAGCCCTAGATAACCATAGGTTACCATTTCTATGGCAATATGTCGTCTTTTTGTGTCTGGTTTCTGAAAACTTACATGTTTTCAAGGTTCTTCCATATTTGTATTTGTCTTTATTCTTTTTTTTTTTCCAAATAAGATCCAGCGCATGTGTAGCTGTATCATTTTATTTATGCATTCATCTGTTGACAAACATTTAGATTGTTTCCACATTTTAGTTTTTCGCAAATAATGCTATGAACATTCCTGTACAAGTTGTATGGACATGTTTTCATTTCTGTTTTCCAGGTGATTCTGATACACACAGACACGGGTAGTGATGCTTGGCAGGAAGTTGCCAGCAGTTGGGCAATGACTAGCTCAGCTTGGAGGGACTTGGGGAGGCCTCACATGGCCTGGCCTGATCACTGAGGGCCAGTGAGTTTCCTCACCACACTCTCCAGCCTTGACCTGAAACTGGCTCAGGGCCAGCAGGCAGGGGAGGAAGGAGAGAGACCTTCCACCTCTCCCAGGCCGCCAGCCAAGCAGCCACTGTGGCTTACCTTGCAGGAGGTGGGCCCTACCATGGTGGGCGATGAGCACTCAGATCCAGAGCTGATGAGGTATCTGGGGGCCTCAAAGAGAAGCGTCTTGGGAAACAACTTGTAAGTAGTGGCATTCCTCAGGATCTCCCTGCCAGCCCCTAAACCTGTCCGTTTCCTTTAACAAAACGAAGCCCAGGGACGATGCCACCGCCCAGCCTCAGAGGCCGTGCCTGCATCCTGGGGTTCTGTCTTCTATAGGGTCGGTCCCGTCTGCGGCTTTATCGCAGCCCCCAGGCTTGCTCTGAAAGCATTCTCACTGGGCCTCCCTTCACAAGGGAGCCCCAGGACCCAGTCCAGCTGGGTGCAGGACTCCATAAGTGGACTGTTCTTTACTCTGCCCTCTCATCTTGGAGCTGGACCCCATCAAGGCAAAGATAGGCACAGAAAAGTCTCTCTCTTGAAGAGCTGGCTGAGTTAAGAAAGCTGAACTCTAGAAACAGGCAGCAGGCAGCCTGGGTCCTACTTTCAGCTCAGCTGCTGCCTTGGAGCTCGTGAGAAGGGTTGGCAGAATGAGCCTCAAAGAGGGGAAAGGGGAGGCAGGCTGGACCCGGGCCCTTGGGTCAGGGTTGGAGGGCTGAAGCCAGCCCCATTCCTTTACCATGAGCCGTTTGTCTCGAGATGCCCAGCTTGGGGCTTGAGCCCTTTATCTGATCGACAACCCTGAAAGAAGGGACAGCAAGCATTCTCCGTGCTAGAGAGCAGCACCCAGAGCCACTATTAGGGGCCAACCTGTTCCTCCAAGACTGCAGGACAGACAGGGCAACAAGAGGGGGCAGAGCCTTGGGGGAGGACCCTGGAGAGAACAGGCCATTCCTCCAGAATAGTGCAGCGGCCCAGGGCACATGGGGCTGTCATCAGACTAACATGGGTTCTAGGATCTCAATAACATTTGGAAAGCTACTTAGCCCTCCAAGTTTTATATTTATAATTATAAAATGGGAATAATAATGGTACCTTCCTTAGGGTATCGGGAAGAAGAAAGAAGATATGCAAGCCAAGTGCTTAGCTGGGGAGGGGGTGGGGAATGTGCACTTAGCCTGGCACCTGGAAGGCACCCAGCAAATGTCAGTCACTATTAGGATTCCTGACAAGGCCTAGTCATCAGCAGATACTAGTTTTACTTGGGGAGCCTGTGCTGTATATCCCCTCATGCTGTCCCCTCTTCCCCTTCTCTTCACAGTTGTGAGTACTTTGTTAATGACCCTCCTCGAATAGTCCTGGACAAACTGGAACGCAAGGGCTTCCGTGTGCTGAGCATGACAGGCGTGGGCCAGACGCTGGTGTGGTGCCTGCACAAGGAGTGACCCTCTCACACTGAGGAGCAGACGGCACACCCCTCTTTTGAGCGGTTGCTATGGCCCCCGATCCGGAGTCCCCGTTCACTCACTGCCCGGCCCCTCTCTTCCCAAATTGTCATTTTCCTCAGCCCAGCACCAGTGAGCAACGAATGGCCTTTTCTGGAACTTGCCTCGGCCAGTGGGAGAGGGCAGGGCCGCTGCCCTGGTGCTCCCAGCAGCCCCTCCAGCTTCTGGGCCCGAGAGCCCTGGAGGAGGCCATGTTCTGTGGGAGCCACGAGAGCCAGGTTGTCCCCGGCCAGAAACTGGGAGCCCGTGAGGAGCATGGCCCCAGGACTGGGCGGGAGGGTCCTGCGTAGCTAGTCCAAGCCAATAAAGGACTGTGATGAGTGGTTGCTCCTCTGTGCTGCTGGCCCACTGACTCTGTGTGGAGCACCTCCCTGGGGGTCTGCCCGCTCCTGGGAGGGGAGCCAGGCCTGGGTGGAACCCTCTCAGGCAGAGCCCAGAAACCAGGGCCATGCTTGGGCAAGCCAGCACCCTACGTCCACACAGGCAATAGAGGTAGACTCTTGGAAAAAACAAAAAACAAAAAAACCCAAACTTTATTGGTGCCATGGAAGACGAGGGCTTTGGAGGGGAGTGGGCTGGGGGCGGGAGGCTATGTGGGCTGCCCCACCTCGTCCTCCTGCTGCATCTGGGCGATCAGCTGTTGCCGCTCAGCGGCCTGGCGCATGCGCATCATGACGAGGCTCTCATAGTCCCTCTCGGACAGCACTGAGCCCTGGCGGACAGAGGGGGACAGGAGATGGTCAGGGCAGCAGGGCACAGCCACACAGAATCTAGACTCGGAGGACTGGGTCTACACAGAGCTAAGCTCTTGAGGCAAGGAGTGAGGATGCCCGGGACTTCTCTGCTGGCTCCCCTCTAAGCCATCTCCAGCAGCTCTCACCCCCCCTCCCCGCAGGCCTTCCATCAATAGTCAGCCCTGCTTCAGCTTCTTGGGCTGAATCACTTCTTCATGTTCCAGCCAGGCCCTGTCTCCCTCCATTTCCTCTCCGGCCTTCATGTGACACTCCTTTCCTCTACCCGTGGCTCCCGCTTCTCACAGGTTTGCAGTGAAGGGGTTGTCCCGAGGTGCAGAAATCCACTCCGCTTTGCCAGGTGGAGGCGACAGCACCGCCCCCTCCCAGCTGCCCACCTCCCTGTGGTCTGGCTCCTGTGGGACACGAGAGAAGGGAGCCCTACCCTGGACCCAGCCTCTGTCAGCCCGCCCTAGAAGGAGAGAAACAAGCATGAAGCCGTTTGCCTCTTAGAAATACACACCAGGGCTGCTGGAGGGCAGGGCCCGTGCCTTTTTCTTTTATTATCTTGCCAGCACAGTGCGGGGGATTAAAGAGTGCTATATATCAACAATCAAAAGGATAATAAACAAGCAATCCAATGGGCCAAGGCTGTGGGGTGGGGAGGCAGCTCTACGGGAGACTTGATCCACCAAGCCCACACCCTGATAAGGTCTGCAGTGGGAATTAAATCACTTCTTCCGTCAGTACAGCTGGAGTGGTGTGAAGCGGGAAGCCCACCCCAGTTGGCCAGGAAGTGAGCCGGGCCGGGGGAGGGGGGGGGGTTGCAAGGCAGAGCACACTGCTAAGCCCTGTTCTTTGGTACACCACTCGAGTGTGCACTCATGGAATTATCCAGGGGGAGAGTTCAGTGGTCAGTGACCTGGGGGATAAGAAGGGAGTGGCTGGGGTTAAGATGCCAGGCCTTGGCCAAGTGGTATGAAGTAAAGGGTGTACAGAACCAGGAAGTGTTACTCAGCCCTGATCCCCCTGCTTCTCGGAATAGTGCCAGCCTTGCTGCTTCCAGCCACAGCAGCTTCCAGGAGAGTTGTCCTCCCAGCCAGGCCCACCCACCTAAGGCTGGCCCAGGGTACTGCTGACAATTCAGGAAAGCCCTATGTGGCCTTTTCCAAGGAGGAGGGACCGCGAATAAGGCCCAAGCGGCCTGAGGGGAAGGCCTGGAGCGTGGCGGGAGAGGAGGCCACAGGACCCTGGCCCTCAACTGCTCTCTCTGGCCCTGAGGCTACCGGAGGAAATCGAGGAAGATGAGGAACCGCCAGACTGGGTGTTAGGCCCAGGAGAGGGCAGTTCTCCCTCCCCAAGGTAATGCTGCACTGCTGAGAAAACTTAAGAGTCACCCTGGCATGCCCTGAGCCCAGCCCTGGGAGGAGCCAGCCCTTTATAGACATGGGGCTGCTTCCCGTTAACACACCCTCTGCCCCACCCCCACCCCCCCATACCTGCAGGCTTGGCTAATGAGGGCCTGTCACCAGGCCGCAGGACTGAGTCACCCACACCAGTGACAGGTCTCTCTTCCTTCCCCAACAACTGTTCCACATGCCTGCCTTTCAATTAACTCCCACCCTCCCCGAGCTCCTCCCTCCCAGACACACGAAGGGGCAGCTGGGGAGCAGGCCCACCAGCTAGGGCCCAGGGCAGTGGGGCTGTGGGGCAAAAGGAGGCAACGTGGTGACACACAAAGCAGGGCTGCCCCCCAAAAGTCCCCAGGGGAATCCTAAGCTTCCCTGTGCCTTGGGGTGTTGGCCACGGCCGGCCCAATCCCTGCATGCGGATGCCGCAATTATCTAAGAGCATGAAACCCAGCTTCCCACCTGACTGAGTCACCTGAAAACAATAACACGTTCCCCACTGCCACACACCGGCACAAACAGCCAAGCTACTAATCAGAGCCCGGGAGCCGCCGTGGAGAGGCCTGGCCCTGTGCTGCCCTAGAGCCAGGCACAGGGGCCAGGGAGGGAAGGTGAACTTAGGACCACCAGGAGCCAGGCGCTGGGGAAGCAGCACAGGCCACTCTCGCACCACAGAGATCCATCTCTGACACCACAGGCGCTGCCCTCACTCCGGCTCCAGTAAGTGCTGCTTCTTCCTCTTGGGATTTTTTTTTTTTTTCCATTACCCTATCAAGTAACCAGGCCACTCCTGTCCCTCTGGGAAACTCCTGTCACCAGGAACTCCTGGTTCTCTACTCTCCTGGACAAAAGTGCCCTCTTTCCAGGACCCCTTCCCACCATCCAAGATGCTTCTAGACCACTAGGGCTGTCTTCCTGATTCTTGCCATTCACTGCTCCAGTGGGGACCTAATGCTCCCTGGCAACTCTTGAACTGGGCTGCTGAGGTACGGAGCTTGTCTGTTGGCTCCCCTGGGTGCCATGGAGACCTGGCGGAAAGGCTCCTTCCGCAACGCCTCCTTCTTCAAGCGGCTGAGCCTGGGGCGGCCGAGACGACTCCAGCGACAGGGCAGCGTGCTCAGCCAGGCCAGCACGGCTGGCGGGGATCACGAGGAGTACAGCAACCGAGAGGTCATCCGGGAGCTTCGAGGGAGGCCAGATGGACGGCGCCTGCCTCTGTGGGGGGACGAGCAGCCCCGGGCCACCCTGCTGGCCCCACCCAAGCCTCCTCGCCTGTACCGAGAGAGCTCCAGCTGCCCCAACATCCTGGAGCCCCCACCTGCCTACACTGCTGCCTACACGGCTACCCTGCCCTCGGCGCTCTCCCTGGCGGGCACCCTCCACCACTACTCTGAAGAGGACCTTTTGGACACTCCCCCCTTCCAGAAGACACCTGCCCCAGAACTGAATGATCCCTTCTTCTCCTTCAAAGTGGACCTGGGGATTTCACTTCTTGAGGAAGTTCTACAGATGCTGAGGGAGCAATTTCCCAATGAACTTAGCTTCTGAATGGAGTGCATGGAAGGCAGAGGTGGGGTAACTGGAAGAGCTGGAAGCCTGGAGGCCCAGGGAAGAAGGATACAGTTGCAGATTAAGAAAAAGGTAGGGACAGAAATCCAGGATCCTGCCTTCCTTCCGGGTCCTGAACAGTCTTCCAGGTTATCCTGGAGCAGAGGGACAGAGGGACAGAGGCAAGCCGGAGGAAATGTCTCGAGGGGGTACTTGCTGGCGGGAGCCCTGAAGGCAGCTGGCTAAGCTGGGGAAGGGAGGCCATGCCTGTAACCACGGGGACAAGGCAGAGGCCAGCAGAGGAGGAGGGGAGCACCAGGGGTGAGTCAGGGAGTGGAGGACTCACACTGAGCAGATCAGATGGGTGCCCTGCAGCAGCTCCTCTGAAGCCACTGTTTATAGAGAGACGTTACAGGGCAGGTCTAGGCAAAAGTGGTCTGACCCAGGCCAAAGAGGAAAGTGGGGAGACCTGAGGGAAGAGCCACTAAGGACATGTGGTTGTTCAGATTGAAATGAGGTAAAATTAAAAATTTAGTTCCCTGGTTACACTGGCCACATTTCAAATATCCAGCAGCCACACGTGATTAACGGCTACCACATTGGACAGCGCCAGTTGCATGTAAACATCACTGGACAAAGTCCTGTTGGACAGCACTGGCAGAGACCAGGGCCCGGAGCCACCAGTGCCATGGTGGGGTCAGGGGGAAACATCTGGGGGAGGGAAGGGCTGGCAGAGTAGGAAGAGTGAGGCATACAGAGGTGCAGAGTAGACTCAGGAAAAAGGCCACACAAATCATTTCCAGAAAAGAGACACGAGAGACACACTGCCAACAGAGCTGCCCAGAGCATGCCCTGGTGCCCGAGGAAGGTGTCTGTAGGGAATGCCAGCCAAAGGCACAGACACGGCTTGCAAACGGGTGCTCGGAGAGTTCCCAGAATTACTAGTGATGGGAGCCCTTGGGAAACGTAGCAGAAAGAGTGGCAGATTTCCCTCCTTCTTGCCCTGGGAGCACCGGACTAGATCAGAGGATGGACACGAAACTCGTAGCTGTTACCATAAAGAGACTCAGCTGGTCTCCAGAACTGTCCACAGGATTGGGGAGCTCTGCCTTGCCCAAACCCCCCGATGATGGGGACTGCCGTGCAGGGCTGAGCCCCCTGGGTCAAGGCCATAGGCTCTGCTACTGCCCTGCCCTGTGGCCTGGCCAGAAGACTTGAAACCAGAGCCCAAATTGGCTGGGCCATGTGGTTTTGACACTCCAGGCCTTATCAAGCGTGGCAGAGGGGGAGAGGAAGCTTCAACACACACTGCTTCCATACCCAAACCTGTGGCCCCTCTCTCCCCTCCTCTGTGTGGATGCGCTGAGCTGAAAGGCTCCCCTCCGGACGCAAGATATATGAATAAAGTTCTTTACAACATGGCCTATGGAGTGTCATCTGGGGCTGTGAAATGCTGGGACTTAACAGTGGGGAATGAGGTCTCTACAGAAGCGTTCCGCGTTGGGCTCACACCAGTTCATCTTCCTCCTCTGCCCAGGATCTGGGATGCACTCCTAGGGAGCTTCCCATCCTCACAGCCAGGTGAGGAGCACACAGGAGAGCAGAGGTGGCATGACTGAGGCAATAAGAGCAAAGCCCTTGCGAATCCCTGGGGGCCCTCCCCCCAACCCCCAGAGTGGCCGTGCACACAGCAGCCTGCAGCTCCCACATAGACCCAAAGGCCATTTCAGAGATGGGAGAGCTCTGGGCCTGAGAGTTTTCTGTCCCATCAAACTGGGGTGGTGTAAACAGGGCCGGTGTCCGGGTGTCCTTGTGCTGAACAAAAGCCCTCATGGAGCTGTGAGGACGACTAAGCCAGACCCCAGGTGCACATCAGCTGAAATCTGCACTTCACCATGCACTTCACCCCAGGGCCAGCAGGGTAGCCAGTGTTATTTCTAAGGAGATACTGCCTCTTGACGGTAGGCAGGCGCCTGTGTGTGCGGCAGCCACAGACAGACCTGGAGACCTGGAGCTGGGGAGGAAGCAGCTGCTCGCCTTGCCTGCCCCTTCCTTCCCTTCAGTAGCTGGTAATCTAAGCGCCAAATGCTTCACACCACAACCAAGCAACCCATGGGCCAGGAAAGCCCCTCTGGGTTGATGGTGAGAGCCCCAGCAGGAGACCGGAACGTGGAGAGAATCTAAGAATTCTGTGTGGGGTGGGGCCCTGGCACTCAGAGACAGAAAAGAGTCAGAACAGAACCACAGTCCTGCTTAGGTTGACAAACCTGCCAATCTCACTGTGCTCCTCGGGAGGAAAGGGCCCTGAGATGAACCCACACAGGAAAAGGTCCCGCAGACCCAGCTAGGGGAGGTTTGGTTCCTTACCTGTGACAGTCCTGGGTGGCTGGGGCCCCCTGCGCCCTGGGGCCGTCCCTCCAACCAGGAAATCTTCAGGGGGTTATCGATCAGGCCCACTTCATTTTGGACAGCCAGCTCCTGTCAGACAGAGCACCTGGTCCTGGTACCATGGCTCTAATCAGCCATAGAGTGGCTCTCTCTACACCCATACAAAGAACCCACACCAGCACTCTTATCTTCCAGGCAAAACCAAGCAACCTTCACACAATGATGTGCTGAGGTTTTGACCCTCCTCATGGGTGAGTCAGGGGTATGAGCCTTCTAACCGGGGAGTGGGGAAGAGGCAAAGCCTGCCAGGAGGCGTGCCAGCTGCCGCAGGAGGACAGAAGGTAGAGGGTGTGGAGCCAGGCAGCAGGAAATGAAGTCGGTGTATGCTCTCCTTCATCCCCAGAGCATTCTCCTGTCTTACCTTCACTCCCTGTGCCTCTACTCCCAGGAATAGGGGGGCCTCTGGGGAGTCTTGGCTCTGAGCTGGCCCAGAGGTCCCTTGGGAGTATGGACATCTAAGCTCAGAGGGCCCACAGTACCGGGTCCGTACTCTGGAATGGCAGGGCCACCAGTGGCCCCCCAAAGCCTCACATGGCACTCACCGCAGCCTTGGCGGTCGCAAACTCCACCACGGCGGTGCCAGCCTTCTTGCTGGAAAGCACCAGGTTGAGCACCTCTCCGTACTGTGAGGACAAAGGGGGCTCGGTAAGCATGGCAAGGAGCAAGACAAGCCTGGGTTGCCCTGAGGCCTGCTGGGGCATTTTTGGCTGGGGGATAATGCTTTGTTGCTAAGTTCCCAGAGAGGGATGAGAGATGGGAAAGAAAGGATATTTTTGCCAGGATGAAGAAGGATAGCAAAGGAACCCTTAGCAAAGGGCTGAGAACTCAGACTGGCAGAGCTGCAAAGCAGCCTCAGGGACCAAAGGTGGAGAAGCGGATGGGGCTTCTGTGCAACCTGCCCACCTCATCTCTCCCCACACACTCAAGACGGCAAGGGCTAGAACTAGGTAGGGAAGGTGAGACCTAGGAGGGCATATGGCAACACAGGTGGCTGGGGAAAGCCTCTAGGCTGCTACATGGTCTGTGAGACAGAAAAAAAGGCTGCTAGAGATGTTAAGGGAGTTTTGGCCCGGAGATCCAGGGTTTGGGCTGAGATACAGATGGAGATGATGAGAAAGATGGAAGGCGGCAGGGCAGACCTTCTGGAAAAGCTGTAGGAGGACATCTCTGGAGTAGCTGCCTCTCGACTCATCTTCCTTCTTGCACTTCCATTTTAGCTGAAAGGATGGCAGTGGGCATCACCATTAAACTCTGACCTTGGCCTGAACAGTCCCAGCCCCACACCTGAGCTTTACAGTCTGAGCGACACCCTCATGGTCTTCCAGGCACTTGTAATCTAGGGAGCCCCCCATAAAGATGTGTTCCTCTTGAAAACGGACCTGCAGGGTGGCCTGCTCACCCACACAGCCACACGTCCAGACCTATAAGATGCTCTCCTTCCAAGGCTTCTGAGAAGGGCTGCCTGGCAACTGCCAGGGCTAAGAGCGGCCTTGTGTGGCAAGCTCGGAGAGGCCATTCAGATCCCCAGGTAGTGACAGGATGGAAGGAATGGGTAATTGCGCTGGCTCCCAGAAACCCAGTGTCCCCGCTAGAACCCCCTGAGCCACTGGAAACATCTGTTCTTGCTGACAAGAGGTGGTATGAGGTGGCCCGTGGATCCCGCAGGGCTCACCTTTAGCTTGGGGGTTCCTCTGCCTTCAGGATTTTCTGCCTTTCCTAGAAAATTTGGGAAAATTAGCAAGGTAGAATAGGAGGGAACACAAAGTTCTCTAAAGGAGACACAGCCCAGAGTTTGAAGGGCTTGGGAAAGGGCACTCCTGACCAAAGGCATAGCTGGCCGGCCCTGGGGATGAGCCTGGTGGGGAAGGGAGAGGCAATCCCACCCCCATCCTGAGGAGCTGCCCCCTCCAGGGTGGTGCGCCCAGCTGCCTGCTATAGGCCATGATTAGCACTCTGCTAAGAAGGGCTCTCATCGCCTTGCAGAAGCAGGAGGCAGAGGTAAAACCCCACAGTTCTACTGAAACAAAGTATCTGGAGCCTTTCCCCTACTGATCTCCTCCACAGTAGAGCCAGCCCTGCTTAGGACTAAGATAAACAAGGACAGGAGATCTCAGGGTGAGTGAAAAACAAATAGGCCCTAAAGAAGTGGTAGGAAGAAGGAACAGGTGGCGTATGTCTGAGTCAGGTGCCCCTAGGGTTCTGAGCAGCTGGAAGCCTCCACAGCAACTCCACCAAGCAGCCAGCGTGGCCGCTCTGGGCATTTGGAGCTGCCTCAGAGGAGAGGCGGGTGGGGGTGATGGATGCCTACCTCTCAACCTCTGCTCCCGTTCCTGGCGTATCTGCTCCTGGATCAGCCTCTGTTGTTCCTCCAGCTGCCGGGAACCCTCTTCTCGAAGGCGTTCGATCTGCAGAGCGGGGTTGGGGGGAGTGACATTTCTGTGCAGATCCAAGTCCAGTTTGGCTCACCTTGTGAAGGTCCCTGGGAGGCTCCACCTGCAAGCTAGGGCTCAGCAACCTGCGGGTTGGACAGATTACCCAGATCCACAGAAGAAGACAGCCACGACAGCCACCTAGGCTCACCCTCCTCCTTCTCCTGCAGATGGCTTTAGGCCAGCATGCCCGGAGGCTCACCTCCTGCTCTAGCGTCCTGGTGCTCCGGCTCTCCTCCTCCTCCTCACTGCCGTGGGCCTGGGTCTGCCGTTCCCGGGCCTCCAGGTCTAGGCACAAGAGTTGAGTGACCCAATGTCTGGTCTAAGCAGTTCTACATGGCCTCAGCCAACCCAAAGTCTCACACAGAATGAAACCATATAGTACCCCTGCCCCCTCCCTCCAAGCCCGTGTGCTCTCAAGTTAATCTTCATTGACAAAAGTCATAGTGTGGAAGAAGTATAGGTTCCAGCTGAGTGGCCGGGGTCTGGAAGAGTTAAATCAGCAGCTCGTGCTGACCAAGCTGGTTCTCTGATCAGTGAACAGGGTGTGGGTGGGTGCTTATGTCAGCAGCCCAGGGCCATGTGGCAGGGATGCCAAGGGTGGAGCTGCTGGCCTGTCCCTGTGGTTTGGCACAACAGCCTGACCTCGACCTTGGCGTTGATGCTTTTTCCACCACAGAGCTCGAGTCCCCACTGCCTCCTACACCTCCTTCTTAGTTCATATTTACCAAGCCTCACTTTGGACCAGACTATGGCAGTTCTACAGGGATGGCAGATTCTGTGTGAGGACATCACCCATGTCCTGGAGCCCTTCCTGCCTTCCAAGAGAAACCTGCTTGTGGCCCTATGCCAGGCTAGCTGCTGTGACAAACCCTCCTCTCAGACCTGGGACCCACTGCTTTCTTCTCTGGGTACTATACTTACCTAGAATCTCCAGGGTTTTTTGTTTGTTTTTGATAAAAAGATGGATGTACTGAGATGGTATATATGAATATTAAATGTATGGATATCAAATAGGCAAGCAGAAGGGGAGAAAAATCAGGTAAAGACTGTCTACAACAATTTTTTTTTAATTAAAAAAATTTTTTTGATGTTTATTTATTTTTGAGAGAGAGAAAGAGAGCATAAGCGTGGGAGGGGCAGAGAGAGAGAGAGTGGGAGACACAGAATCCAAAGCAGGCTCCAGGCTCTGAGCTGTCAGCACAGAGCCCAACATGGGGCTTGAACTCACGAACTGTGAGATCATGACGTGAGGCCAAAGTCAGACATTTAACTGACTGAGCCATCCAGGTGCCCCAGGACTGCCTGGAACAATCTTACTGCAGTGATGAAAATGTTCTAAAATTGATTTACAGGCATAGTTGCACCATTTGGTAAATTTCCTAAAAATCATTGAATTATACACTTGAAAGGAGACGTAGATGGGGGGCACCTGGGTGGCTCAGTGGGTTGGAAGTCTGACTTGAGTTCAGGTCATGATCTCACTGCTCGTGAGTTCGAGCCCAGTGTGGGGCTCTGTGCTGACAGCTGGGAGCCTAGAGTCTGCTTCGGATTCTGTGTCTCCTTCTCTCTCTATCCTTTCCCTGCTCATACTGTCTCTCTCTGCCTCTCAAAAAATAAATAAATGCTAAAAAAAAAAAAATTAAAAAAAAATAATGGGTAGATGGTATGATGATGGTATGATATTCAAAACACACCATAATAAAGCTATTAAAAAAAAATGCCTGGACCTATTTGGATCCTTCTGAGAGGACTCCTCAGAGTGAAAGCTCTGTGCAGAAGTGAGGCTGGGATGAATCAAAAGATCCAGGACAGCATCCTGAATAAGAACAAGACTTTACTCATACTGCGTGGGTTTAAATCTCAGATCCAGCAAGTTCTCATCCTTTTGGTGCCTTAGCTTCTTTGTCTATTAAAAAAATGGGTTTAGTAATACCCACTTCCTTAGATAATTAAAGGAGGCTGTAAAGCATTGGTCACAATGCTAGCTAGTAGTAAATCTAGTCACTGTTGTCATTCCTAAGAGTATCCTTCAGGACCCACCCCTGGCAGGCAGCAGAGTTCTGCCTAGAGCTGGAGCCAAAAAACTCTGAGGTACAGCTCCAGGAAGAAAAGTGAGGGGGCTGCATGAAAATGGCCCAGGGAAACCACAGGCCACCCAGTACCACAAAGTCACCTACCAAGCTTCACTTTCTTTCTTCTCTCATCAAGTTTCTGGGTTCTCTCTGCTGCCTGCTTCTTGGCTTTCCTGACCTTGTCATACGCAGCCTGGCAGGAGAAAGGAACACCGAGGAGCAGTCAGCTGAAGGACAAGCACAGAGTATAGCCATCTTCCCGGACCTGCTATGTAGCCCCGGAGCCGTCGGGAGGCAGCCTGGTGACCAGACCTCCAGGCTGGGGCGGCAGGGCCCGTGCTGCATGGCGGAGTATAGGGGACTGAGGCTCAAGTGCCACAGTGGTCTCTAACCACGGGAGACAGTTCAAATAGAGGAGGATGAGCTTACCCTGGCTGCAGCATCGGTCAGTACCTCCAAGGCCTGAGAAAGCTGGTGGAAGAGCTCAGCTACAAATATGGGTCAAAAAAAGAGAGGAGAAAAAGGAAGTCAGGCTTGATATGGTGTGCTCTCTCGAAAAAGCACCTCAAAGAAGCCACACGCTGGCAGGAAGGCCGACATCCACAGATGACGGACCAACCAGGAAGGGTGAGTGTACAGACAACTGACCAGACTCCCTCCCCTTGCATGCAAAGTGCAGGCCTGGGGCTGTGCACGTCACACTCCACAGCAGTTACTCGGGAGCGGAGACCGGGAGGACGCCATGCCCAGGTGAGCGGGTCTCACCTCCCCACGTGTAGGACAGTCTCACCTGCTCTGGGATTATCTGGATTTTTGTCTGGGTGGCAGGAGAGGGCCTTCTGCCTATATGCCTTCTTCACCTGGAAGGTCAGAAGACGTGGTTATTCACTCTCTCACCCCAGGTGGGCAAGAAAATCTCACCAAAGCAATAAAGAAATCCAGGGTGGGGCGCCTGGGTGGCGCAGTCGGTTAAGCGTCCGACTTCAGCCAGGTCACGATCTCGCGGTCCGTGGGTTCGAGCCCCGCGTCGGGCTCTGGGCTGATGGCTCAGAGCCTGGAGCCTGCTTCCGATTCTGTGTCTCCCTCTCTCTCTGCCCCTCCCCCGTTCATGCTCTGTCTCTCTCTGTCCCAAAAATAAATAAAAAACGTTGAAAAAAAATTAAAAAAAAAAAAAAAAAGAAATCCAGGGAGTATTCCCCATGGCTAAAAGAAAGGCTGCTGGCCCCCACACTGTTTCTCCTCCACCCGAGGAGATTTGCCCTGGATGAGGCGAAGGCCATGGAGGGAGCCAGCTGCAGCCTTGTAGCAGAGAAGCTGGGCCTACTTTCTACTGAGCACCAGTCTCACCACACAGGATGTAAAAGGGCTCCTGACAGGGGCAGGTTTCTCTACAGCCACCTGGAAATAGGCACTCACATACTCTTCGTAGGCATGTAAACTGGGGCGCCCTTTCTGAAAGAAAATTTAGCCATCAAGTTTTAAAATGTATTTGCCCATGGGGTGCCTGGGTGGCTCAGTCAGTTAAGCTTCCAACTCTTGGTTTCTGCTCAGGTCATGATGTCATGGTTCATGGGTTCAAGCCTTGCAGTGGGTTCCATGCTGGCAGTGCAAAACCTACTTGAGATTCTCTGTTTCCCTCTCTCTCTGCCCCTTCCCTGCTTGAGTGCTCTCTCTCACACACACACATAAAATAAATAAACATTTAAAAAATAAATAGAGGTGCCTGGGTGGCTCAGTTGGTTGAGTGACTGAGCATCTGACTTTGGCTCAGGTCATGATTTCAGTTTGTGAGTTCAAGCCCCACTTCAGGTTCTGTGCAAACTGCGTGAAGGCTGCTTGGGATTCTCTCTCTCCCCAGCCCGTCTCTGCCCCTCCCCTGCTCGCACTTTCTGTCTCTCTCAAAATAACTAAATAAACTTAAAAAAAAAAAAGGGAATAAAAAATAAATAAACTTAAAAAAATAAAATGTATTTGCCCTTTGATCACTCTTAGGAATTTGGACTTATACAAGTATGCCAAAGCAAATATACAAAGATGTCCACTGCAGCAATGTTTATATTAGCAACCACTGGAACCAACCAAAACCTCCATCAACAGGGAGACCCATTTAAAAAATTATGATAGACAGAAGTCTATACATGCCAACTAGAAAGATCTTCAAGTCCACATCTCAAGAAGAAAAACTGTAACTATGTATGGTGACAGATGTTAACTAGATTTTTTGTGGTGATTGTTTTGCAATATATACAAATATCAAATCATTATTTTGTACCCCTGAAACTAAGACAATGTTATATGTCAATATATCTCAAGAAAAAAAAAAAAAGATCTTCAAGGTATAGTGTATGAAAAAAACAAGACTTAGAGCAGTATATAATATGATCACTTTGGTATTCAAAATAAACAAATAATGGGGTACATGGGTGGCTCAGTTGGTTAAGTGTCCAACTCTTGATTTCGGCTCAAGTCATGATCTCATGGTTCATGGGTTCAAACACTGCATTGGGCTCTGCACTGACAGTGGGGAGTCTGCTTTGGATTCTCTTTCTCTCCTCCTCACCCTGCCCTACCCTCTCCCCAACTCACATGCGTGTGCACTCTCTCTCTCAAAATAAATAAACTCTAAAAATTAACAGATGAAAGAACTATAAATAGAGATATTTGGACATGTGCATAGCCTCTGAAACTTATGAGGAAAAAGTTTCTTATCATATAAAACCTAACAGGGGTTTCCTTTGGAGAGAAGTTAAAGATGGAGGGGGAAGAAACATTTACTTCTTTTTTTTTTTTTTTTTTTTTATTTATTTTTGAGGGAGAGAGAGAATCAGCATAGAGCCTGACACAGGGCTCAATCTCACAAACTAAGATCATGATCCGAGCCGAAATCAAGAGTTGGATGCTTAACCAACGAAGCCACCCAGGTGCCCCAACCTCTTTTTTTTTTTTAAGTAATCTCTATGCCCAACATGGGGCTTGAACTCACAACTTCGAGATCAAGAGTCCCATGCTCTTCCGACAGAGCCTGCCAGGTGCCCCCATTTACTTCTCATATTTTTCTGTAGTTCAAATTTTCAAACCTTAAACTGGTCTTATTTTATTATCATTTTTTTATTGTCAGCTTTGTGCAGTGGCGGTATCGTAGCCAATGAGGTTTATCCGAGGCACAATTATTGCTAATTGGAAACTTTTTATTGTCAACAGGGGTTATCTTGGTGGGGAGGTTATGGTCTATCTTTAGTTTTTATCTTGTAGCTCTCTGAATTAAAAAGAAAAAAAGTATTACTTCTAATGTAAGTAAAAATAAACACAGCTACCAAGATTCTCTACCATATATTACCCACTCAGCTATTTTAAGGAAAACAGAGCACAAATCCCAGAATCAGCCTCTGCTTCCTGAGGCCCTGTGCTCACTTGTGCTTGCACACCTTACCTGCCATTCAAACCTGCAAGGAGGAGCCTCTGGACCCAGAACTTCTGCAAGCAGCTAAGCAGACTGGCTTTCTAGGCTTCTCAGAGGAAACCGTAAATACTTCTACCCAAAGTTGCTAAATAAGGACCTTCAGAGGCACGCAGCCAGCACCACCAAGGGAGGGCATATGGCCAGGTGCCTCACTCTACTACCACCTCTAGGGCCAAGGAGGGCGGGCAGCCACCTAGCCCAGGACCTCTGGGATGTGCTGCCATCTCCTGGGCTAGGGCCGGCACTACACCTTCACCGCCAGGGCGACCAAGCCCATCAGGCTCTCGCAGGGCTCTCCTGGTTCAGCCCAGCAAACAGAATCCACTCCCACCCAGGACAGGCCTGGAGCAGCGAGGGTGTAGATGTGCCTCCCTACATCCCCACCTTCCTAATCGTCCATCCGTGCTCACCTGGCACACCTGCTTGCCTCAACAACCCAATCGAGCCTTTCACCATGAAAATTTACAACAGGGGCGCCTGGGTGGCTTAGTTAAGCATCTGACGGGCTCAGGTCATGATATTTTGGTTTATGAGTTCGAGCCCCGCGTAGGGCTCTGTGCTCACAGCTCAGAGCCTGGAGCCTGCTTTGGATTCTGTGTCTCCCTCTCTCTCTGCCCCTCCCCTGCTCACACTCTGTCTCTCTCTTTCTCTCTCTCAAAAATAAATAAACATTAAAAAAATTTTTTTAACTACAACAAAATCTAGCTGTTTCCACTATTAAAAAATTAATAAGAGGTGATCGTTTTATATACAGTTTTACATTTGAAACATCATCTTTACTCTTTCAGTCCCTTATCATTAGTCTTTTCTCCCTTCTTTTGCCTCTTCTATTGTGCCCCAGCCTCATTTCTTTTTTATTTAAAACTAAGCCTTTATTATGTATTCTTTATGTTTTAGGGTCCTCTATGTGTTGTTTTTCCTTCAATAAGTAAAACAATACAAAAAATATATAAAGAGAAAGCCAAAAATCTAATGTTCTTTCCCCACCTCCCCTGCCCTCTCTTCACAGTTCCGATGTTAACTGGATGGTGGGTAGGCTTTTAACGCTTCCTCCTTGATTATGCCAACAAATATGAGTCTTCTGGGTTTGGTTTCTGTCTCTCTACCCCTCCTCTCTCTGTCTGAGATGGGTGAAAGGCAGAGGCAGGGAGAAGAGGGTGTCTGTCACCTCAGTGTGAAAGCTGCCTGCTCTCAGAATGCACTTCTTCAGGACCAGGATTAGGGGTGTGGTTTACCAATGTCTGGGCATTCTGTCGAAGATGTTCTTTTATATTGTGGGGCTCTTTAAAAGTATTATATGTTCATTTTTGTAAATCTGGAAGAGACAGTAAAAGGGAGAGGCAAGAAGGATCAGTAAGAAAGAAAGATAAAAGAGCATGGGGAAGCCTGGGTGGTAGTGTATTCTTCATTTTCTTTCTCTTTTTTTTTTTGAGAGAATGCTTTATGGATTTTATTATAAAGGAATGATATTAAGTACTGCTTTGTGTTTTAGAATTCATTTTGGATGTTCTACATCAGAAAACTGGGGTTTTTTACCAAACAGACTTTATAGTCCACGTGCTTGTGAGACCTGAATTGTGTTTAAGTGTTTAAGTGAATCATGTCTCCATTTGTACTTAAGCACTATTCTTTTTTTCACAGCTGAATATTTGCAGTTATGTTTCATGTGGGGCATAAAAAACAGGACACATAAACAAACAAAAAAACAAAACTTATTTTTTTACTTAAATAGGGAAACAAATTGTTCAAACAAAAAATTATGTAATAACAGGAAATTAATCTAATACATTAATTTGCTTCTTCATCAATTCTCTTTCCAGAATGTGTCCCTTTGACAAATATCAACAAGAGTCTCATCAGATTTTTAAAAAAAAAATTTTTTTTTTCAACGTTGATTTATTTTTGGGACAGAGAGAGACAGAGCATGAACGGGGGAGGGGCAGAGAGAGAGGGAGACACAGAATCGGAAACAGGCTCCAGGCTCTGAGCCGTCAGCCCAGAGCCTGACGCGGGGCTCGAACTCCTGGACCGCGAGATCGTGACCTGGCTGAAGTCGGACGCTTAACCGACTGCGCCACCCAGGCGCCCCTCATCAGATTTTTTTTGAAGTAACAGTATAACTAGACCTAGGTTACCTCTCTCCTCATCTGCATGGAGCCCATCTTACCCCCACCCTTCCAGCTCCATATTCCTAACATCTACAACTAAACACAACTGCCTTAATCAAACTGATGTATCCTGGACGTCCCACTCTCAAGCCCTGGCCTGGCCCTCAATTTCCAAACCATCCTTTAAAGGTATAAGGGGCTGACCATTCTATATTTTAAGATCCTATAGGAAAAAGTTAACAGTCTCATGCACTGGCTAGATATTAGCATTATATCAGGCTGGTTATTCATT